TCGGTGTGAGACAGTCACTGTGGGACTCCTCCAACTGCTGAGGCACCCACAGTCTCAAAGGGCCTCAAAGACTGGGTTCTCAACCTTTTGGGTGTGGTACAGCTGTTGCTACTATTTTGAAGCCGATTTAATTCTATGTATAATTCTGTATAGAAGCTCGTTCTGTTTGTGTGGAGAGCCCTAACTAATACAACCCTTTTCTTGTGCATTTATAAGCTTTTCATCCTCAGATCAATTAATCAACGTGACAGAAGACAGTGCCTTTTTTCTTAACTTTGGTCTGTCAGCAGGGTGTCTATTGAATGTGTGGCTGCTGATCACCTTTGGGATATGTGAGCATCCACAGCTGCATGCTAGTAGCATGACAGAGAGCCACACAAGCATCAGGCCAGGTCTACTTTGATACCTGCTGTAGGCATTTATGTATTTCTAAATGGATTTTTCTCAAATTGCATTTTAGAAACCTGTTGTCCAATCTTGTGACTCACCCTCTGCATAAAGATTTTGAAGGGAAAAGTAGGAGGCAGAAATGGTCTTCTCTAATTATTTTAGAAGATCCATTATAATGACTTTCAATTTTATTATTCCCAACATCATCACTCACACAGCTTTCTCTCCCTGTCATGATGGGAGCTTCCGCAGTCAGCTGCTTCCCTCCATCACCCCATCAGTCATTTCTGAGTATGTAAATTTTTTTGACTTTTTGAAAGAGAGGTCTCCCTGTAGTCTCAGCTGGCATGTAGACCAGGCTGGCCTTGATCTCACAGAGATTTCCCTGCTTCTGCCTCCTAAGTGCTGGGATTAAAGATGTGTGCCACCACGCTGGACCCTGAGTGTGTATTCTTGTACTGCAAATTGCTCTATCAGCTGCTGTTTTTCTGAACATAAGGTTTTCATGCTTCATGCCATCCCTAGTGACCCATCCCAGAGAAAGAACTCCCTCAGCTATCTTTTCTAAGCAGTTACTGTGTTCTACCAGCTCTGCAGAATAGCTCCAGGCAGATGAATAGGCTTTCCAGAGTGAGTGGAAAGACGTTGACATAGTCACTATATTAAATCCCTATTTGGCTGCTGTTCTGGTTTCACTTCTGTTGCAATGGTAAAACACCCTGACCAAAAGCAACTTATGGAAGGAAGAGGTTTATTTGGCTTTTAATTCCAGGTCATAGTCTGTCACTGACGGGAAGTCAAGGAGGAACTCAAGTGGCTAGTCATGTCTCATCCATAGTCAGGAACAGAGAGAAACTAACACACCCACGCTGCCGTGTGCTCGCTTAGCTAGCTTTCTTCACTCTAAATAATTGAGGGCTTAGCCTAGGGAATGCTTCCACCCATAGTGCAATGAATCATTTAACAATCAAGGCATCTCTCAGACATGCCCACAGGCCACTTGATCTTGATAGTGTCTCAAGCATGACTCTATTCCTAGGTGATTCTAGACTGTGTCAAGTTTACAGTTAAAACTAACGTGCATATCTACGCACAAGGAACTACAACCCTGAGAGTGTGCATGTGTTGGCTGAACTCATCAGGATGGCTCTGAACTCTGGCCCTGACTGGGTTCTCTTTCAGCTGGAGTTGTCTGTATCTGAAAGGGTTCTTTTGTGCCAGTTTATTCAGCACAGTTGCTCTTAGAGCATCCTGCCTTCTACAGCAAGGAAGGATGCTACTCTTTCCCAATTATCTAGGTGCTGAGACTGGTCTTGGTCATAGGAGGGCCCACTGCTCCAGCCAGGCTGCTTACCCCACCATCCCTCACTCACACTCCTTCACTGGCTGGGCTTCTGCATAAGGCATGCCACTTTCCTTCTTTTCTTCAGGCGCTAACTCTCCTTTAGATGACAGTGGAAACCTTTTCTAGATCTTCTAGCCTTCACTTGTCTCTGACTAGGTATAGTCTGTAACTACAACTTCATACTTCCCTTTCCTCCTGCAGTGTTAGTGATGTTTGTGTGAGCTGATCTGAATTTTGAGTACAGTACATTGTACTTCTGATCTTCTCCTCAACCCCAACACGTGGGTTTGTTGCATAGCCCTTAAATCCCTTCAACAAGAAGACTCGGCTGTATGTAAAAGGTATGCTCTAAAAGGTGTAGAGTTTTATTTTTCTCTTTCAGATGGCTACAGTGAATTCCTAAGAGCGCTAGCGTGCTGGATAGCTTCTCTGTGTTCGGCTTACAGCACTAACGGAAATGTTCTTTTAAAGACAAATCTCACTGTATTGGTTGCTGTACTTCAGGGTGAAATGTGGACCAGAGTGTGGGGATTACAAACGTCTGTTGGTAAGGGGCTTTCTCCATGTGGGTTGCTTGGCAGTGCTTGCTTCTACCACCTCTGTCCTATCGCCTGTCTGACTGAAATCCAGATCTGAGTTGAATCCTGGGAGAAGGGTGTTTCTGGATGGCTGACTTCTGCTTGGTGTTTTTGGTTAGGTTTGTCTGAGGCCTTCAGTGAGAGAAGCAGAAGTGCAAGAGGAGGAAAGCCCATTCAGTCACATCACTTCTCCTTACAGCTGTCTCTTCAGTGGTCAGTGTGGTCACTGGCCTGCATCGCCTGGCCTGCAGCACTGTTGTCTCACATTCCTCGTGATTCAGCCACTCTAGGCCTCTGTCATTCTTTCCATCCAGTCCTGAAGCGAAATGCACTAACTGTTGCCTCCTCCTGAGAGATGCCGTCCCTAGCTGCCTAGGCCAAATCATGTCAGTGCAGTTCCTCATCATGGTTTTGCTTGGCCTTCCTATCACTTTTTACTTAGCACTTGTGATTGCTTACCTTTGCGATAATGTGACCTTTCCTAGATTGTTTTGCTGCAGTGGCTCAGAGCTTGTTTTATAGCCTCATGTCCCCAGTACCTGGCACATAATTAAGGTTCAGTGGTATTAGTTTGAAAGTGGAATGAAAGCAGGTGTGGGGTGTAGGTGAAGAAAGCAGGGTGTCAGAGAGCTGATTCAGAGTCAACGGGAGGACTCTGCTGCATACAGCATGTAGCAAAGTCTCAGGGCTCAGAGGCCACTAGCTCAACAAGGCTGGTCAAATAGAGGCAAGGCTGGGCAGCTCTGCCTTCCATAAATAAGAATAACTGGATATTTACAGTATACTAGACACTGAGCTAATGTTTGAAAGCATTTTCACAGTCCTTTAACCACTGTATGAAGAAAGTCATACTAACCCTATTTATGTTGGGAAAAATGAAAATGTGAGAATATTAACTACTCATGAAAGTCCAAGAACCGAGAGCATGTTAGGACTCAAATCAGAAGTCTCCTCCTGTCTGCCTCATCCTTCCTAACTGCCATCTTTCCTCTTTCTGGTCCATTAGCATGAATTAACTCTAAAATCCCCTCTGTGTCTGTTTTCGGTCCCTCTCAGTGATCTTCATGGTTTGCTGTGGTACCCACACCCAGGCACACTGACTTTAGTTCCATGTCCACACAGCCTTCGTCCTGCTGTTATCCTTCTTTACTCTTCTGGTTGGCCCTCTGAACCCCCACCGGGAACTGACTAACTCCTGCTGTAAAACCAGCCCAGTATTTAGTACTTTCGCAGGCAAAGTGAAAAAATGCTAGTATGCTGATGACTGCCAGGCAGGTGGAGAGTCCAGCCATAAGAAATAATTGGTTTTTGTAAATGCTGTTTTCATTTGCTTTTAGTGTATGGTTTACTTCTCAACTTAATGACTAATGGACACTGTAGAAATTACTAAATAGCATTTCTTTCAAAATATTAAATGCTCTGGGGAATTAAATAAAACAATTGTGATTTGATATAAAATCAAGGAACTGAACTGTGCCTTCAGTTTACCTTAGGCCTCTCTTCTTTCTCTCTTCAGAAGATTTATCTTCCTAATTATAGTTGACTTAGGCTAATATTAAAATTACTTTGCATTCCTAAAAGCCATGTATTTCATCTGTCAATAGGGGCACACATTTAACAACCACAAAATTACCTGCTTTAAAATAGCCAGAAGTGGTGGTGCGCACTTTCAGTCCCAGCACTTGGGAGGCAGAGGCAGGAGGATCTCTGTGAGTTCAAGGCCAGCCTGATCTACATAGTGAGTTATAGGCCAGCTGGGGCTACAGGGAGACTGTGTCTCAAAAAGGCCAAAAAAAAAATTATCTGCACAAACAAAAAGTTTGTATTTCTCCCAGAGGGCTTTTTTTTTTTTTCAAAAGAATAAAATATACATAACCGTTTATTTAAAAAAAAAAAACAAAAAAAAAGCCCCAAACCTAACGAGGTACATACATACAGTAGGTTACTAAGCATGTAAACATATCTGGGTGTCAGAGAATGATGGCATGAAGTGACCAGACACGATCTGCCACCCAGCAGAGCTGATGGTGCTGTCTTGCAGGAGGAGCCCAGCTGTCACAGCAAATACTCTAGATGAATATCTAACTTATAATAGATGCCTCAGAATGCAATTCCTAGTCTTTTCCTTCTTTAAAAAAAAAAAAAGAATCTGGAAAGTTATATTTTTATTGAATATGGAGATATGAAAATCTAAATGAATAAACATTTTCTTATGTGCTTGAAACATTAACTAGCGTACAATCACAATATGATGGCTTTTTCCAGATAATATTTTACAGCTACACTGTATCTGGGCATTGTGTGTCAAGAGATGGGTAAATCTTTTCAGATGAGGGCTACAGGGTTTACCCACCTGTGTCAGAGCCATTAGGACAGCTCAAAATTTGTGTTTTTGTTGTCATTGTTTGTAGTTCTGAGGACTGACCCCAAGGCCTCACACAAGCTAGGTGGGTACTGAGAATATCTAAGTTAAATTTCAGACTGTATGTTTAGTTTCTTGGATGAAAATAAATGTAGCACGTTGCGTCTGGTAGTTACGGCCGTGCTGAGTGATGCTGTTATGTTTTGCTCCAGATGTCACTGAGATATTTAGAGAACATGAATCCTCAGAACCAAACTGTTAGAACTATGTTAATATGGCCTGTATAGTAGTCCTCGATTTCAGTCATGTCTTGTGTGCCCTACAGGCAAATATGTGTATCAGCCTATGACCCCCGTGGAGCAGCTGCCAAGCACCGAGATCCCTGCAAGGCCCCGAGAGCCCACCAATACCATTCAGATTTCAGTCTCGCTCACTGAACACTTTTTGAAGTTCGCATCTGTCTTCCAGCCTCCGCTTCCCCCTGACTCACCAAGGTACTGCATGATCTCAGATCTCTTCATTGACAACTATCAGGTGAAATGTATTAATGGGAAAATGTGCTATGTGCAGAAGCAACAGGTGCCCCATCCCCAGAAGCTGAGCCCTGGGGACGTCTCTGCACACGATGCCTTAATTTCAGAAGAGAGTGATACAGCAAAGCTAGAGCACTGCTCTTCCCCCTCAAGTTCTGAGGACTCGGGGATCAATGCAATTGGGGCTCACTATGTGGAGTCATGTGACGAGGACACAGAAGAAGGAGCGGAACTAAGTTCTGAAGAAGATTACAGTCCCGAGAGCAGCTGGGAGCCAGACGAGTGCACCCTTCTCTCCCCGTCGCAGTCCGACCTGGAAGTGATCGAAACCATCGAAACCACCGTGTAGTCAGTCACCCTGAGCTTTGGTACTTCGGTTTGAGGAGTCCTTTTCCAATGTTTTCGGTGTTTTCTAACCCCCATGACCAATAGTAGCAGTTTGGCGGTCCGCTGATTACTGTCACTCTTAAATTAGTCTTGTAACTAAAACATTTTCTTACAGTTTTCTTTTATATCTTGACTTGCTTTCTATGTAGCATCTGGTGTCATGAATTGTGACCCAGCCTTAATTTCACTGAGAACTTGGAGAGTGATGGGATCAGAGTGTTGTGGACCAGACGGAGGTGCTCTTCAGAGTGAAGGCGACCATATTTACAGCTAGCCAGTCCTTTGTGGAAAAACTGTCTTGGCTTCCTTTAGGCATGTTCTGCTGGTCACAGAGTTGGAGGGGACAGCTCCCTTCAGGGAAGAGTGTGTGCTAGCAATGCCGCTCTGCCCTTTCCCCTTCTCCTTACCACCCGCACTGGCTCTGGACTTAAGTGGTCTCAGCACACTTCTAGGAGGTCACTGGAAGCCCCCTTGGGCCCTGTGAGGGCCAGGTCTGCACAGACCTCTGTGTCTTGGGCGGAACCAGATCTACATGTGAGAAGAGATGGACATCTGTAGTTTCATGTTTAATCCAGCTTTGGCTAAGTACCTACAGACATGCTGCAGAGTGGTAGGGACTCAGAATGGCTCATAACCTAACTCCCACCATGAAGGGGCCCATATTCTAGTAAGGGACATGAACCATGCAGCGCACAGTACCCAGGAAGCCCTTGGAACCAAGGAAAAGAGAGATGAACTTGGCCTGAGCTAGCTCAGAGAGTTGCTGCGGTGTTTGAGCTGACCTCAGGTGGCTTTCCCAACATCTTCCTGGCTTTCTTAATTGTTCTTCAGGTCTGGGAGAAACATTTAAGAAGTTATGAGTAGGTATTGTATTTGGGAGGCAGCCACATCTGACATCTTAAGAAAAACAATAATAGTTTTAGTTAGCATGGAAATGCTAAAAGACAGAAGTCCTTTAGGGATTAGGAATAAATCTAATAGGTTTGATTAATTCTGCTTCGTTTGGGTGTATGAAGCATTAGAATGGCTTAGATAAGAAATGGAATTCCATATGATGCATGGATTTTTTTTAATGCAAATGCAAAAACAGTTGAAATAGTTCACTGCTGAGTCAGGAAGAGTCCATATACAACTCCTTCCTGTCATTACAATGGTAGTCACATGCATAGCTCATCTCTCATCCACACAGTAGTGAATAATTACTTCCTTTTTACGTAGCTCTTTTTTAGGATTCTGTTCCTAAACTGCACTTATAAAAAGTGTTCTCCTTTTTTGTTGTTTTTTGATTTTTGTTTTTTTGAAATAGGGAGGGTCTCCTTGTAGCCCTATCTGGCCTAGAACTCCATACATAGACTAGCCTAGCCTCTAACTCACAGAGATCCTCCTGCCTCTGCCTCCCGAGTGCTGGGATTAAAGGCATGCAAATGGGTTCCATGGCCTTGTTATGTGCTGTCAGCATCTAGACACAACCTTTTCTGTCACACTAATGTGTACTTAAGAAGATGCCTTTCTTGTTCTCTGAGGCCACAGTTTGACATCTTCACAAGGGAAGAATCTGCTTTCCTAGTTGGATATACAGTTGTATTGATTTACTAGACCTTTTTTAGGCTGGTGTACCCCAAACATTCATAAGGTTTAGAAGGCTGAGTATGTGGCTTCCTTTGAAAACAGCATTAGTTAAAATGTTCTGTGTTAGACGAGAATGCAGCATAAAATCCCTGCTTACTGAAATGTAAATACCAGCCAAGGTCGTATGAGGAATCTAGCAATGGCAGCACAGGCAAGGGCAGTTAAAACAACGAGGTCTTGGCCTAAGGAGCATTCCCCTAGCCAGGGATGGCCTGGATGGCCTAGGGACATCTGGTGAGCCCTGCCTGAGGTTTGTGGTGCCTCCACTGAGCAAGTGGACAACTGATTGAGCTGAATACTGGCATGGAAACCTAATGCCACGAGTCATGTATCCTTGTTCTCACTCAGGGCTGTAAAGGCAGCACCGTCCCATCTTGGAGGGCCAAGGGCAAGCTTGATGGGGAGGTGAGCACACAGCAGGCTTCTTCCTTACGCCTTTCCTATCAGCTTTCCGGCCTAGGCCCACTGCCATTCATATTAAACCAATTGGAGTCTATAGCCTTCTATAGCCTGGGCTCTAAAGCCAGGAAAACACATGATCATGGGCCACATTTCTAAAGCTCAGCCATGTGTCAGAGTTTGGCCCTTTATCAGTAATATCTGTGACTTTTGTCCAGTTTTTTTTTAACTCCTAAACTGCCACTCAGATTAGCCACAATTGCAATGGAATTTTTGGATTTAATAATAATTGATAATCATTTTAAATACTTGCACAGTCTCTTTATAGTTAACCTCACTATGCTTCACTTACTATTTTTATAGAATTGAAGCTGTTCCATTTGATTCCTGGATCTTAAATAAGCACAAGCAAGAGTTTTTTGTTTCCCCTCTCCCAGCATCATTCATACCAGTAACTATCTGAAATGTGATTAAATCAGAATTATTTCTCTATGCTTACATTCTAAAATCAACTGAGAGGAACATAAAAATGTACAGTTTAAATTCTAGGCCTATTCTGTTCTATGTTATATGGAAGACTTTCCCTATAACCCTGATATCATATTGCTAATCTGTATAAGCACGTTAATAGGCACTTTAGAGATACTTACAATGCAACATGCACTATAGACATTGGGCACAGTCGTGTTAAATGGGCTTCTGACGACTATTCCACACTGAGAGATGAAAGCTTTAAACTTCGAACCTTGAAGAACGCTTACATGGAGCAAGGCTTGTGCCATGTGGTAGACATAGTGTTCTCTTGGACTTTTGTGGAAAACTGGTATTGCTGCCACTTTTTCAAAGTTGGTATAAAGGCTACTAGGTACAAGGTTAATTCCACTAGCTATGAAGGGTGGCTTTCTTATGTAGCCAAGGTTTTAAGTTTCAAATATGTCCATAACTTTTCTGAGACATGACAAAGCAATTAAAGCGCTTTGGTGGGTATTTAATATATATATATTTTAAAAGTGTTTACTTTCAAATCTCAGCATTTTTTTTTAATCTGGTAACATTTAAGGTATAACATGAGACTTTGAAGACAACCCCAAAGACAGTTGCTTTCCTGGAAGAGAACACTTGTACCTCAAGGTGATATAGTACAAAATAGAACAAAACCCAAACCAGTGTCCCAGTAGAACACGACACAATGTAATACAACACAACACAATATATAGACATGTATATGTTATGTAATACAGTGTGATACAATGTAATACAATGCAGTAAAAAACAGGATAAAACCCAAGCCACCAAGTCCAGAAACATGGTTGTTTCAAGACAAACCTTTTGGATTTGATCTTGGACTTGCATCTTGGGAGTAGAACTTTTAGTTCTGAACTTCCACCTGTTGCCTGTTTGAAACATCACAGTTCTGGGATTGTTGGGGACAGCCTCTTAAGCAAATTTAATTGTAAGCAGACACCTTAGGAGGCCCAAGTATCCAGATAACCATGGTAATATAGACATTGCTATACAAGAAAAAAAAAGCACAAATTAAGCAAAATACTATTTATGCTATCTGCTCCTGATTGTCTCAGCATCCATCCCACTTACAAAATTTTATTGTCATGTTCTGACCTTTTAGTCGAGGAAAATATTTTAACTGTTCGCTTTCCTACCCCCTTGTACAGAGGCGTTGTGAACTAGAACAGAGGAAGGAGGCTGGTTGCTGCAGGCCTTTGGGGGGAGTGTGTGACTGCACTTTCCAAGGAGGAGGGGGTGATGGGAGAATGCAAGGGGGAGTTCTACTCACAGCCCACCCAGGGAATGCCATTCTCAAATCAGATAGAAATACAAGGGCATTGCTCAAAATTGATACTCCATTTTCAAAGTATCACTTTGTTATGCCTATGGTGCCTGAATGTAGATGGAAGGCTGTTTCATCTGTGTCAGAGTTCTGCTTTCTGCCAAGGCTGATGTGGCTGGAAGCTTGTCTGGGCTTTAAACACAGAGCTTCCGGGTCTTGAGTTTGCACACACTGTTAAGCTGTCCATACTTTGCAATAGTCATGTGCTGTGCTGTTTTGTCTTTTATAATTCTAATGTTTTAAGCACAATGTTGACTCCTGTAATTTCCTAAAATTAACTTGTTTTCCTGAAACAGTTCACTTCACTTTAGAAAAACACCGCTGTAAAATAAAAGTAGTTTTTTTCTACTAGAACAAATCTGCTACTTTGGAATTTTTGTATCAAGTGTTTACCATGTGCTAGAAAACAAATGTATATCCATCATCCATCTAAACATACAAACATTTATGTAGTGCAGGTGCACGTTACTCACATGTGTTCATGCTCACTATGTACCACAAACGCCAGAACTCTCTAAGAACTTCTTTGTTGGCTTCCTCAGGTTTATGTGAAAGAAGAGTTTTATCATCCCATAATTAATGTCTATTACACAGGTGTTTTTCCAGCTCACATGTGGTATGTGACAGCTATGACCACAGATCCCACAGTGAGGGAGGCTGCCCCCCCCCGGGGCCTTGGGAATCAAGCCTCAGGATGGCAGGTTCTGAAAAGTTTTATTCATTGCACCAGCTTCTGGGTTTGATGCCTGCAGAACAGCCTCCCTAGGGACTGCTGTTAACACACGAGCAGATATCCCTGTGTTCGTGATGGCTGCCTTATGGCTTCCTACACAGAATCTTCGCAGCAACTGTGGGGGAGGATTTAGCATCCCATGTCACAAATAAGGAAGGCAGCTCAAAGAGTGTTCCAGTCAGGTTGGGCTGTTAACCTAGAATGCTGGCTCAGGAGTTGACAGTCACAGTCTTTTGCCCAGTGCTCTAGTTTATTTCTCCATTGCTGTGACAAAATACTCTGACTAATACCAACTTGGGGAGGAAAGGGTTTATTTGGCTATCATCTCCTGGGTCACAGTTCATCATGGTAGGAACTCAGGGCAGGAACCTGGAGGCAGGAGCTGGAGCACAGGCCATGGAGGAACGCTGCTTACTGGCTTGCTCCCCTGGCCCATGCTCAGCCTGTTTTCTTATTCAATACAGAACAACCTGCCCAGGGGTGACACCACTCACAGTCAGCTAGGCCCTCCCACATCACTCAACAATCAAGAAAATACCCTAGTCCAGTCCAAAGGGGCAGTTCCCCAAATTGAGGCTCCTTCTATCGAGGTGTGTCAAGTTGACAACTAAAGCTGTTCAGCATAATTGACCCCTTGTCAACTTGACACACAAACACATCACTATTAAACTACAATTTTTTCATTTCGTGTCCCTGAGATATGTTAACAATATCACAGACAGTACAACCTTAAAAGTTTCACAGTGCTTAAAAAAATTCAAACACTTAAAAGTCCATAATCTCTTTTAAAAGTCTCTTAACTGTGGGCTCCTGTAGAATCCAAACATGTACTGCCTTATTTAAAAAGGGAAGAATCGGGCACACCTAAGCAAAACCCAAGTCCAGCAAAGTAGCTCAAGACCGGACATCTGGGATTCACTCATGATTTGGGGGACTCCAAAGGGTCTCAGCAGATCCATTTCTCTGACTCTGCCATCCATAGAACACACAGCTCATCTCACAGGCTCAGGCTGTCTCCATTCCACACTTGCTGCTGCCCTTGGTGGTCATCCCATGGTCCTGGCGTCTCCAAAAAGCTGGAGTCTCCACTGAAACTGAGGCTGCACCTTCACTAATGGGCTTTTCTGGCCTCTTGGGGTGCAAAGCCTCAGATTCTTTCCATGGCCCTTTCAATCCTGGGGTCTTCATTGCAACTGAGGCTGCACATTCACCTATGGCCTTTCCTGGCCTCTCAGGGTGCCAAGCCCCAGCTGCTCTCTGTGACCCTTTTATGCTTTCAACACC